TTGCTCTTCACTGTCAGTTAAAGGAGAGCCAGAAAAGCCGCTCGGCTCCCTGGGCTCAGGACCTCAACGACAGCCCCGGCACGTGGGGCTGGGCCGGTACTGTCCCCCCCACACCATCCCAGTGGCATGCTGGGCTGGGGGATCCCCTTGTCTGCCACCAAGCTGGGGCCAGGACGGGACCCTCTCCCCATGCAGTGCTGCTGACGGGTCTGGCACAGCTTGGCACGGGTCCTCTGGGCACACTGGGTCTGGGGGGGCTGTGGGGCTCAGCAGGCACCCGGGGCTGGCGGGGAACAGGGCTCTGTGTGTGCCATGGGGCCAAGAGGGGACCAGTTCGTGGATGCCCAGGGAAGGGTGCCCAGCAGTGGGTGCCAGGGCTGCTAGCCCCCAGGCAGGCAGAGGTGGTCCCTGGGGAGGGGCTGCCACCCCTGGCTGCCTTTGCCGGCATCGTTGTCCCCAGACCCTGGGCACGGGGCAGTGTGGGCCACACTCAGGCATGGCTGGGGCCATGCAGACCCCTTGGCGGGTGCTGGGGTGGGGTGAGGGCGCAGCCCGCTTGGAGTCCTGCCCACCCTGGCACATGCTAATTGCATGTAATGGGGAGAGCGTTATCAGCTCAAATCCGTAATTAGGCAGCTCCATTGTCATGCAAACCCGCCTGACTAATTCATTCATAACAAGCGCTCGCTTAATCAGCGCCCAGACGCTGCCACGCGCTCCCTAGGAGACAGGCACCCTCCGGCCCCCGCCGCCCCAACCCAGCCTCTCCCGTGGCTGTGGGGCTGGCGCACGTGGGGCACACGCCTGGGGGGCCAGGACAGTGGCCAGCTCGTGGGGACGCACTGGGAAACTGGGGATGTGGTCCTGGGGCAGGCAGGGGCACTCTCAGGGGCACTGTGCCCGTTGGAGCACAAGGGACACGTCATCACTCTCTACCCATCATCGCATCGTCCCCCGCGCTTGCCACGCGCCAGACTGGCCAGGAGCCGGGCTGTGCTGCCCGGTGTTGGCATCCGACCCTGCTGGCTCCCTGCCCAGCTGGGGCTGGCACTGGCACCCGCCTGGCGTCACCGTGGGGGCTGTGTGGGGTGGGAAGGTGGGTGCAGGGGGAGCATTTGCCAATGCCCAGATGCTCCAGGTGAGCGTTGGAGCAGCCGCAGGCAGCTGGGCAGTGCTGGACGATGCCGTGGCCCCTCGCTGGGGGTCTCCCGGGGGCAGCACTGGCTCATTGTGGCTCAGAGCCAGCCTCTCTCGGCAGGATGGTGCCCAGCTCAAAGCCTCAGACAAGCTTTTGACGGCGGTGAGTCGTGCCAGACAGCCTCCTCTGCGCCCTGCGGAGAGCAAAGTGCCAGCAGCGAGGACCCCTGTGTGCGGGGCAGCAGGCAGGGCTGGCACCCCCAGGCTCCCCTGGGCACAGCTGGGCATCCTCTGTCTTCCCCCTGACACCCACCCTTCCCTCAATTAGGCCAGCGCAATCAGCAGCAATTATTGCTTTAATTACCTGCTGCTGGGGAGCAGGCTGGGTGCCGGCAAAGTGCGAGGAAATCTTTCATGTTAACGGTGTGCCAGGCCTGGCGCGGGTGCGATGGATGGGGCGCCAGCTGGGATTGAATCTGCTGGCTGCAAGGCCCATGGGGATTCAGGGAGGTCTCCAGACGGGGGACAGGTGCTGGCATTGAGGTCCCCACCCTGCCGCAGGGACCCCCAGGGTGGCAGGCATCAGGCAGGGGTGCAGGCAGGGGATGAAGGCAGAGGGAGGCTGGGGCAGGGCTGCCAGGGACGGCTCGGTGCCCCGCTGGGGACGGTCGATGCACGGGTCCCGGCTGGGCAGCAGTGTTGGGGCCAACCCATGCCATCAGAGCGTTCTCCCGCTGCAGGCAGCTGCCTGCTCCCTCCCGGGGGCAGCTGTGCCGAGTGGGCGCACACCGGCGTGCCGGTGCCGGGGCTGGCACTGCCGCAGCCGCCAGCGGGCAGCCTCTCCTCGCCAAGAACACGCTGACCTTCCCGGCGTCTCCCCGCAGCAGGCACCAAGGAGCTTGGCGTGCTGCTTTCTGTGCCGATGGTGAGCGTGGCACCGGCGCTGGGGGCAGGATCAGCCCCTTGAGCACAAGAAGGATCGGGCTGGGGGGGGGGCACCCGCTGGCACCTAGTGGGTCCTGGCAGTGCTCCCCCCACACTGGGCAATGCAGTGTCCTGCAATCTCTCCCTGCCCAGTAACACCACTACACATGGTGCTGTGTACCACACCGTGCCCAGGTGCTACAGTGAGAGGCTGTGTGGCCACCCAGGGTGGCAGCAGCTGGGGGGCACAGGGAGCAGGGGGGCTTTATGTATGGGGAGGAGGCCAGGAGTGGCTGGGGGTCCTGCAATGCTAGGCTGAGGGCAGGTGCTGGGAGCCCATAGCAGGGTGGCCCCATCCCCTCTGCACCCCAGGGTAGGTGCCACAGCCCTGCTCTCCAACCTGGCCCCTAGCACCCTGCCCCTTCATCAGGCCTGCCGACACACTTGTTAGCCCACGTGGGCGGGGAATAATTGATAATAAAGCCCTGCTTAATGCACTGGCTTTACCGGCTGTGATTTATCGGCAGTGTAGCAACCCATGCTCCCAGTTACCCCTTTGGCTGCTGAGAGAGCGGCCGGCCAGGGCTGTGCCCTCTGCCACGGCGAGGGGGGTCCTTGGGGTGAGTGGGACCCAGCTCCCCGCCATCCCCCTGGTCCCCGTCCCCCATCCCCTCCGAAGTTCCCCGATTCCCTTTGCCAAGGTGACATAAGCATCTCGCCTGTTTCCATGGCAACACAGCGGCAGGTGAGCAGTGAGGCCGATGCGGTGCGGGAGCCGGCACGGGCGTCGCGTGGGGGGCCGCTGCCCACGGGGCACCCACGCTGCACCCATGCCTACGGGCTGGGGGTGCCCACGCTGTGTGGGCTGTCCGTGGCGTGCGAGGGGCCCATGGCGCATGCGGGTGTCTGCAGGGGGAGGGTGCCCGTGGTGCATGGGGTGCCCACAGGGTATGGAGCACCCACGGTGTGTGAGATACCTGTGGTGGTTGGGATAGCCACGCTGCGTGGGGTGCCCATGGTGCATTGGACGGCCACAGGGTGCATGGGGTGCCCGCAGTGCATTGGGTGCCCATTGTGCATGCAGTGCCCACAGTGCATGGGGTACCCGTCATGCGTGGGGTGCCCGTGGTACACAGGGCACCCACACCACAGCCCCTTCACCCTCTCACCGGGGCTCCAGGCCAGCTCCAGCCTCCCAGCCATGCCGCATGGCTCCATCCATGACCGCACCACAGCGCACAGCCCCGCCGGTGCCCAGCGTGGTGCCAAGTGGCAGGATGGCTTTCCACCTGCGGGCTCTGCAGGGTGCCTGGCAGCCCCCTGGCTCTGCTGCTTGCTGCATGTCCCCAGCTTTGTTTGCTGCCTGTGGTCCTACCCTGCTCACAAGGCACCCGGTACCCCAGTTGGGTGGGTAGCTGGAGGGGCTCTGTGCCCATCCTGCCTCCCTCACCCATCGGTGCTGGCCCTGGACTTGCCGCACCCCTCTGCTTGGCCGTGATGTATGGATGCACAGCTCAGCGCCCGCCGCACTCATTTCACATGTGATTAAAAGGCTGGTCCCCACAGCACCGCTCCCTCGTTCACCCAGTGTGCCTGCTGCAGCTGCCCGGGTGGAAGGCAGTGGTGGTGCTGTGCAGTGGCAGACCTGGCATTTAATAAATAAATTGGGTTGCCTTTTGGCACAACGTGGAGCCCCATGTGCCAGCATGAGCAGTGCGGTGTGGGCACCCAGGGGTGTGAGCCGCGGGTGCTGCGGCGAGCTGTGCCGCAGCCAGCACCGGGGATGTCACCGTACCGGGGACCGCAGCGCCTGTCCGCACCGTGACCCCCCAAGCCGGCCCCGGGGCTGCGGCTGGGGGGGTCGTTAAACCAGTGAAATATGAAACGCGTGTATATCCCCTACAGGGGTTTTAATTAAATTAATTGCCAGCGACATTGTAAAAGTGCTGATGGGGTAATAACCAGCGTGTTATGGTGGCCGTTTATCTTCACCGCGTAAATTAGCTCCTGCACCTTGCCCGTCCCGGCAGGCACTGGGGCGGGCTCGCTCGATGCCCGCTCCCCGGCTCGGAGGGGCCTGATCCAGCTGGGGGGAGCAGCGGGGCCCGGAGCCCCCCTGGGGGAACTCAGCCAGGGCCCGAGGGACCCCCGTGTCCCCATCGCACAGGTGGTTGTGCCAAGCGGGAGCAGGCCAGGGCGGGCACCATGGGCCACGGGGTCCCGCGGGCTTGTGGGGAGCGGCGGGGGTTGCCAAACGAAGGCACTTAATTACTGCGCATTCCATCCCATTTAATTGCTTATTAAATCCTAACCAGCCAATTAGCAGCAGCAATTACAGCTTCATTCAGTGACACAATCGCTATTTTATCGTTTGTTAATCAAATGCTTATTTAGGGCCCTGGTTTATTAACTCTTTCTGCAGCAGGCACCAGCAGGTTGCGGGGAGTGGGGGCACCCAGCCGTGTCCAGACTGGGGGATGTGGGCACTGCGGGACTGTGCCACGTGCCATGTCCCCAGCACTGCTGTCCCCCCAGGGACCCTGCCCTGGTCACACCCACAGCCCCCAAGCAAAGCTGGGGGATGCCCGACCCCCCAAAGGACATGTGTGTAGCCCTGAGCCATCCTCGCCACCCTGGGGACACTGGGGACAGCTAGCCCCTGTGTGCCATGCCCGTGCCCACTCCCAGGTGGGTGCCAGCAGCACAGGACAGGGCACACCTCTGTGCCACCCTGCCATGTCCCCCAGGGCTTGGGGCACACAGCCCACCACTCGTCCTGCATCCCTGTGCCACGCCAGGGCGCGGTGAGGCAGGATGCGGCCCCCGGCTGGCACCTCACAGCGTGCTGGGGAGGGAGGCCGGCGGGCACCCTGGGAAGCGTGAGCAATGGCCCTTGTTGGTCACACTACATTTCCTTTTCATTAGCGCTAAGTGTGGACATGAGGGATCGGTGCGGGTTCAGCGGGCGCAGCCACCGCACGGCTGCTCTCCCTGATGGATGGCGGGGCCGGGAGGGGGCTGCCGCATTGCTGGCGGAGGGGGATGGCAGCGGGGCACGGGGCCACTGGCACAGGGCCACACCAGGACGGGTGATTGCCCAGCCCAGGCACACTGGAGGTGGCCGAGCCCCATCTCCCCACAGGTGCTCAGCAAAGTGTGACCGTGGCCAATCCGGTGTCCGGCGCATCCCCGGACCTGCTGCCGCACTTCCAGCTGGAGCCGGAGGACGTCTACATCGTGAAGAACAAGGCGGTGAGCCTGGCCTGCCGTGCCACCCCTGCCACCCAGATCTACTTCAAGTGCAACGGCGAGTGGGTGCACCAGGGCGACCATGTCACAGAGCACAGCACCGACCGTGGCACCGGTGAGTGCCAGCGGGAGGGACGATGCCGGCTCTGGTGACAGGGAACCACGTGCGCTGCTGTCCGGGTGGGGGTTGCACGGGGCAGGGGCTGCGGGGACCGTTCCCAGCGTGCCGGTGCTGACTTGCTGCCCGCCGGTGGCAGGGCTGCCGGTGATGGAGGTGCGCATTGAGGTCACCCGCCAGCAAGTGGAGAAGATCTTTGGGCTGGAGGAGTACTGGTGCCAGTGCGTGGCCTGGAGCTCCTCTGGCACCACCAAGAGCCAGAAAGCTTTCGTGCGCATCGCCTGTGAGTGTCTGTGGGTGCCTGGATGGGGTGTGGGGTGCTGGCCCCGGCACCCCCCCTCACCCCTGCACCTCCCCAGATCTGCGCAAGAATTTTGAGCAGGAGCCGACGGCCAGGGAGGTGTCCATCGAGCAGGGCATCGTGCTGCCATGCCGCCCTCCCGAGGGCATCCCCCCTGCCGAGGTGAGCCCCTGTGGTCTGGCAGAGCAGGATGCGGCCGAGAGTGCCCTGTGCCTGCAGGGACACTGTTGCACGCTCCCTGAGGGGGTGGCATGGCCAGGCACACAGTGACATCCCCGTGCCCCACAGGTGGAGTGGCTGCGCAACGAGGAGCTGGTGGACCCGGCGCTGGACGCCAACGTCTACGTGACACCAGAGCACAGCCTGGTGCTGCGGCAGGCCCGCCTGGCCGACACTGCCAACTACACCTGCGTGGCCAAAAACATCGTGGCCCGTCGCCGCAGCGCTTCAGCCGCCATCACCGTCTACGGTACCGCCCTGCTGCGCCTGTCCCCACCACGCTGCCCCGGTGTCACCCTCCCCGTCCTGTCCCTCCCCACATCCCCTGTCCCGGCGGGGCACTGATGGGTCCCTCTCCACCCAGTGAACGGCGGCTGGTCAACGTGGACGCAGTGGTCGGGCTGCAGCACCAGCTGTGGACGGGGCTGGCAGAAGCGGAGCCGGACATGCACCAACCCCACGCCCCTCAACGGGGGGGCTTTCTGTGAGGGCCAAAATGTGCAGAAAACCGCCTGCACCACCCTCTGCCCAGGTACCCACCCTGCCTCGGACACTGCTGCCACCTCTGCCGTGCCGATGCTGCGCTCCCCGCTGCACCCATCACAGTCCCTCTCCACCCGGGTGTCTCGTCCTCCTACCCGTCCCTGTGTGTCCGTCTCTGCCGGCCCCCGGGCAGGGGAGGGGGATGGCAGCGGGATGCTGACCACCGGCTGTGCCCGCAGTGGACGGCGCCTGGTCGGAGTGGAGCAAGTGGTCGGTGTGCGGGGCCGAGTGCACCCACTGGCGGAGCCGGGAGTGCTCGGAGCCAGCGCCACGCAACGGGGGCCAGGATTGCCACGGCCCCGAGCTGGACACCCGCAACTGCACCTCCGAGCTCTGCAGCCACGGTAAGCGTGGCGGGGATGGCGGGGTTGTCCGCTGGGATGGGGACTGGGGGTGCCCGTGGGTGCTGACGCCCTGCCCCGCGCAGCTGCCCCCGGCGCAGAGGACGTGGCGCTGTACGTGGGGCTGGTGGCCGTGGCCGTGTGCCTGGTGCTGTTGCTGCTGGTGGGGGTGCTGGTGTACTGCCGCAAGAAGGGGGGCCTGGACGCTGATGTGGCCGACTCCTCCATCCTCACCGCCGGCTTTCAGCCCGTCAGCATCAAGCCCAGCAAGGCCGGTGAGCGAGGGCTGCGGGGACGGGGCTGTGCACCTGCGCTGGCACATGGTGTCCCTTGGGACCTGGGGATGGCCGTGCACCCGGGGCGGCTCTGGGCAGGGGCTGTCTGACCCAGGGCATCCCCGGCCCTGAGTGGGGGCTCTGTACCCCATGGCGTCCCTGGGCAGGGGCTGTTTGCCCCATGCCCTCCAGGGCCGGCTGTGCCACTGTGTTGCCGGTGGGGATCCCCCTGTTCCTGCCGTGCCCCGGCACCACGGTCCCCTGCTCTGTGCTGCAGACAACCCCAGCCTGCTCACCATCCAGCCCGACCTCAGCACCGCCACCATGACCTACCAGGGCTCGCTCTGCCCACGCCAGGATGGCCCTGCCAAGCTCCAGCTGCCCAATGGGCACCTGCTGAGCCCGCTGGGTGCTGGGCGGCACACGCTGCACCACAGCTCGCCTGCCACCGAGGGCGCCGACTTCGTGGCCCGGCTCTCCACCCAGAGCTACTTTCGTTCCCTGCCCCGTGGCACGACCAACATGGCCTACGGCACCTTCAACTTCTTGGGGGGGCGGCTCATGATCCCCAACACAGGTATGGCAGGGTGGGCGTGGGGTGCCGGAGCATCACCCAATGCAGGGGGGTGCCTATGGGGCTCACCCCCCTGCCTGCACCCCCCCACCACCCAGGGATCAGCCTGCTCATCCCACCCGATGCCATCCCACGGGGGAAGATCTATGAGGTCTACCTGACCCTGCACAAGCAGGAGGAGGTGAGGTAGGTGCTGGGGCTGCCGGGGCACAGGACTACTGAGGGGGGAGGCCATCCCTGCTCAGCTGCCCCTGTCACCACCCCAGGCTGCCCCTGGCCGGCTGCCAGACACTACTGAGCCCCATCGTCAGCTGCGGTCCCCCCGGGGTCCTCCTCACCCGCCCTGCCATCCTGGCCATGGGTCACTGCGTGGAGGCCAGCGCTGAGAACTGGAGCATCCGGCTGAAGAAGCAGTCGTGCGAGGGCACGTGGGAGGTGAGTGTCTGCGGGGGGCGAGGGGGTCGGGGTTGGAGGGGGGGGATGCCCATGCCTGGGGTGCATCTCTGCCTGGGTGCCGCAGGATGTGCTGCAGCTGGGCACTGAGCCGTGCACGGAGCTGTACTACTGCCAGCTGGAAGCGCAGGCTTGCTACATCTTCACCGAGCAGCTGGGACGCTTCGCCCTGGTCGGGGAGTCCCTCAGCATGGCGGCCTCCAAGCGCCTCAAGCTGGTCCTGTTCGCGCCGGCCGCCTGCCCCTCGCTCGAGTACAACATCCGTGTCTACTGCCTCAGCGACACGCAGGATGTCCTCAAGGTACCGGGGGTCCCCATGCAATGCCCCCATCCCGGCTTGGAGTGAGGGCTATGCAGGTAGGGCTGGGCTCCCGGGGCGTAGCATCTCCTGCCCAACCGCTGCCTGTGCCGGCAGGAGGTGATTCAGCTGGAGAAGCAGCTGGGGGGGCAGCTGATCGGAGCCCCCCGGGTCCTGCACTTCAAGGACAGCTACCACAACCTGCGCCTCTCCATCCATGACATGCCCAGCTCCCTCTGGAAGAGCAAGCTCCTCGCCAGCTACCAGGTGAGAAGACTGTCCAGCGGGTGGGGACAGGGATGGGGGGGCTGTCCCTGCCACTCTGACCCCCCCAATCACCCCACCACAGGAGATCCCCTTCTACCACATCTGGAGCGGGCTGCAGCCCTTCCTGCACTGCACCTTCACCCTGGAGCGCCTGAGCCCCAGCACCTGCGAGCTGGCCTGCAAGATCTGGGTCTGGCAGGTGGAGGGCGACGGGCAGAGCTTCACCGTCAACTTCAACATCTCCAAGGTGAGAGCAGGGCTGGGGGGGGCTTCTGGGGGTGACCCTGGGATGGGCTTACATCCTCCCCCCCCCCGCTCCCATGCTCTCCCCTAGGACACGAGGTTTTCGGACTGGCTGGTCCCCGACAGCGAGGTGGGCGCCCCGGCCCTGGTGGGCCCCAGTGCCTTCAAGATCCCCTTCCTCATCCGCCAGAAGATCATCAGCAGCCTGGACCCGCCGGGCACCCGGGGAGCTGACTGGAGGACGCTGGCCCAGAAGCTCAACCTCGACAGGTGGCCCAGGATGGGGACAGCTCTGGGGATGGGGATGGGGTGGCATGGTGGATGGGGATGGGGTGGCTTCTGGCCTCATCCTGCACCTATGGATGGATGCTGGAATGCTGTGGGCCACTGGGAGTGGGATGGTGCCCAAGGTGAGGTCAGCACAGGGGTGGTCCTGGGGTGTGGAGCCATCCCTGTTCCCTGACATGGTCCCTCTGTCTCTCCCCCAGCCATCTCAGCTTCTTTGCCTCAAAGCCCAGCCCCACGGCCATGATCCTCAACCTGTGGGAAGCGCGGCACTTCCCCAACGGCAACCTCTCGCAGCTGGCCGCCGCCGTGGCAGAGGTGGGCAAGCAGGACGGTGCCCTCTTTGCCGTCTCCGAGGCCGAGTGCTGAACACCGCAGGGGGGACCCTAACCCCACTCCTGAGGGATCACCGCCATGGGGCGGGGGGGGCCCCGGCCGGCCCCCGGGCCCCCGCTGCCCCATAGCCCACGGGGAGGGCTGCCTGGGCTACCTGGCCCCCTTGCGAGAGAGGGATGCCCGTGCCCCACGGCAGCCGGGCCCCCCACAGCACTGCAGCAGCAGGGCTCAGCCCGGCCCCAGGGGTCCCACAGCCCTGTGGCGGGGGGCCAGGGGGCACTGGGTGTGCGTCGTGCGTGCGGTGCCGTCGTGCTGTCTGCGTGTGGGGCCGGGCGGCCCCGGGCCCCGTGCCGTGTTGTGTAAAGACCGTTTTTTTAATTCTGTATTAAGTGCATTCAAGTATTTACACTTGGCCTTATGTACATAGCGGTGCCGCGGGCGGGGGGTCTGCCGGACGTGAATGTAAATAAATTCGATATATATTGCTACGTGGGGCTGTGCCCGGCCATGCGCTGCCCCCCCACCCCCGTGTGTCCCCTCAGGAGTCGGAGGTGTGGAGCAAAGCCCTTTATTGGGGTGACAGTGGTGGCAGTGGTGGCCGTCCTCAGGGCTCGGCCCCGCGGCAGGCCACAGCCGCCACGAGTGCAGCCCCTTTCCCCGAGCCGTCCTCTGACTGCAGGAAGGTGACGGTGCAGTTGGGTGCCAGATCCCGCAGCATCTGCTGGAGGTGCTGGGAGAAGCTGGGGAGGACAGGAGGGGAGGGTGAGGGCTGGTGCCCCCCTCCCCACCTAGACCCTTGCTGTAGGGCAAGGGTCTCCGGTGGGCGCCTGCCACCCTCGGCCCCACTCACCGCGGGTGCATCTTGTACAAAGTGCCATCCACTCCCACTGTGACAGCCAGCTGGGCCAAGCCCCGGTTCTCCCGCATCTTCTCCACCACGGCGGCCAAGCCGGCGGCACAGAGCTGGGCTGCCCGCAGCGACACGGTCTGGCACACCTTCTGCACCAGCAGGCTGTCCTCAAAGCTGGCCTGGAGCTCCAGGTCCTGCAGGATGGCCCGTACCTGCCGCAGAGCCAGCCCATCGCTGCCCCAGACCAGGGGCACTGTTAGCACCACCATCCCCATCACCGTCCCTATCCCATGGGCTGGAGGTGGCATCACCCTGTCTGCGCCCCATCAATGTAGCATAGCCCCCTCTTAGGGCTCTGGCTTCACACCTCTCACCCTGGGCTAAGGGAACCCACTGGACCCCAGCACTCACATCTCGATAGTGGAGAGGAACTTGGTCTGGAAGATGTCCCTGGTCTGGAGCTTGGGGCAAGGCTTGCCACGGAACAGGAGCTGTTTCTCCACCAGTGCCAGCAGGATGTGGCGCACAATCTCACCCAGGTACATGCCACTGATGAGCTTCTCGAACCTGCCCCAGGCACAGCCTTAGCTGGGCACAGCAGCCCCCACCCGGCCCCCTCCCTGCCCCGGGGCCCTTGCCCACCTCTGCTTGCCTGCATTGATTGTTTTCTCATCCACCAGCCGGTCAAAGTCAGTGAAGAAGTCGTCCAGGCAGCCGTTGTCCCCAAAGGCCCCCCATTCCATATTGATGCACATGCGGCCCTGCTCCCCCTCCACAGTGCCGACATTCCGCATCTCCTCCATGTAGCAGGCATTGGTTCCAGTCCCTGTGGGCCCCGCACTGGTGTCACCCCCACCACAGCCCTGGCAGAGCTGCCTGGCACCCCGTGGCCATGCCATGTGGGCTGGGATGGTAGTGAGGGAATGGGAGACCCCCTGGGTGCAGAGGTGCTCCTCACCCACGATGAGGCCGATTTCACATTTGGGGTCATCATAGCCACAGGACATCATGGTTCCCACCGTGTCATTGACCACAGCCACCACCTTCAGCCCTAAGTGCTGCCAAAACGGAGATGGGGACACATGCAGCTTAGTGGCACCCAGCCGGCTCCTGGCGCTGGCGCTGCCTGGGTGCAGGGTGGTACCCCGGGGACAGGGGATGGACCCCCAGCCTTTCCCTACCTGTTTGCGCTGGGCAGCCTCCCGCAGCAGCTGCACCACGTCCTGCCCCACACAGCCCGAGGCGCTGAAGCCTTTGGTCCAGCTCAGCAGCACTGCCTGGAAGAGAAGCAGGAGCAGGGGCCAGGCAGCTGCCTCACACCCTGGGGCTCTCCCCACTCCCCTGGGGCCAGAGCCGCCCCCTCACCTTATCCAGGCCCAGCTGCTGGCAGGGGAAGGAGAAGGTGAAGCCAAGCGGCAGGACCTGCTCCATCAGGTCCTGCTTCAGCTGAAAGTCCATGATGCACTCGATGATGTGGTTGAAGAGCTGCAGAAAGCGGCCATGGTCAGCAGGGGCCAGGCTGGGGCAATGCCGCGGGCGCTTTCCCAGCCCCATACCAGGCCTGTAGGCAGCAAGGGGGGAGACAATTCCTACCCCTTGGCCACGGGTCCTTGGACTCACCGCCTCGCCAGTGCCCTGCATGACAGCGGTCGGGATGACGTAGATCTCACTGGCCATGAGGATGCCGTCCTGTGCCACGCGTACCACCAGCACCCGGAAATTGGTTCCCCCCAGGTCCAATGCCAGGAATTCGCCTCGCTCTGTGGGGAGCCAGCATGGGGCATCAGCGGGAGCCACAGCCTCCCCAGCAGCCCTATTCCTCAGGCCCCCAGCCCTCACCGGTGCCATCAGGCGTGCCACGGACGTAGGTGGGCAGCATGCGGACGGAGGCATTGGCATGGCTCTCCAAGCCCAGCCCCAGCTCCATCTCCCGCCTCATCAGTGCCTGGACGCGCTCCAGGTCAGCGCGGCTGAGCCGCAACGGGGCCAGCAGTTGGTCCACTTCGCGGCGCTGGGCTGCCAGGCGCAAAGCCACTGCTGTCACCACGGCCGCCCCCTGCCCGGTCCCATCCACCGAGGGCAGGAGTGTGGCCATGCACTCGGGGGCCAGCAGCCCTGTCACACTCTGCAGGATCTCCCCAAACCTGCCAGAGAAAGAAGATGGCGAGGGCTGGGTATGAGGCATTCCTCTAGGGTGGGACGACACCGGGAGCCCCATGTCCCTCCTCACCTGGTGTAGCCCCGGTACAATTCGCCATCCACCCCCACGTTGACCGCCAGCCGCTCCAGCTCCCGGCTCTGGCACATGTGGCTGAGGATGGCAGCCAGCCCAGCAGCGCAGAGCGCGGCGGCGCGGCTCACCACTGCCCGGCAGATCTGCTGCACCCGGCAGCAATCCTGCTCGCTCGGCTGCAGCCCCAGAGCCTCCAGAACCCTCCTTGCCTTGGCCATGCCTTCCTCGTTGCTGCAAGGGAGAGCACAGCGCCGGCTTAGGGGGCCACTGGCTCGCAGCTGCGGGCACCCACCTGTCACCCCCACATCCTCCCACCTGTGGCAGCTCCTTGTCCCCACTCACTCGATGATCTCCAGGACCTGCTGGGTCTTGAGCACATCCTTGGTCCTCAGGATGGCAACACTTCTCCCAGTGAAGAGTACTTTCTCAGCGACCAGGGCGGTTAGCACATGCCGGACGATCTCCCCCAGGTACAGGCTGCCCACCAGCTTCTCAAACCTGCATGAAACCCGAGCTGGAGTCAGTTGTCCCTCCCTGGTACCCCTTGGCCCTTTGAGAGCACCCAGGAGCATCACAGGGGGCCATGTGCTCCTGATGGTGGAGCCTAACATGCTCAGGGATGGATGGGGAGTCCCAGGGACCCTGCCCTCTCTGGGGGGTGGGTGCACCTCTTCTCCCCGGGGTTGGAGGATTCCTGGTCCACATGCTGGTCGTAGGGAGTCAGGATGTCGCTCAGGGTGCCATCATCCCCAAAGCAGCCCCACTCGGTGTTGACACACATCTGCCCACTGATCTCCTCCGCCATCTCCACCAGCTGTGCCTCGGCCATGAAGCAGCTGTTGGTGCCCGTGCCTGCACAGAGTGATGGGGGTGAGCCCTGGCACAGCCCCCCCCACCCCAGCACCCTCCTCAGGCACACGGGGTGCCCACTGCTCACCCACGATCAAGGCGACCTCACAGGGTTCCCCCCTCATGCTGCAGGTCATCATGGTGCCCACAGTGTCGTTCATCAGGGCAACGACATCCACGTGGTGGAGCTGGCCAGGGGCAAAGCGTGAGCATCATCAGCTGCTCCACAGGGCAGCCCCCAGCCAGACACCCCCACCTCACAGCCCCCCACCTCCTGCTTCTTGATGGCCGACTGCAGCAACTGCACAACATCCTTCCCCTCCACGTCACTGCAGCTGAAGCCCTTGGACCAGGAGATGAGTTCGGCCTGTGGAGAGCACGTGGCCAAGCCATTGGCCTCAGGCACCGGGCTGGCTCCACTCCCCACCACTGATGTGCAGGGGAGGAGGCGGCTGCAGCCCTGGGTCGGGGCTGTCCCATTCACCTTGTCCAGCTGCGTCTGTCTGCAGCTGAAGGGGAAGACGAAGCCCAAGGGGAGGCGATGCTGGGGGCTGCTGATGCCAGCCAGGAATTGCCGCACGCATTGCGCAATGAAGTCAAAGAGCTGCAAAAGCATGGTCGGGGGTGACCAGCTGCTCCCCATTATCCAGCACCCAGGCTGCAGGAGGCAGCCCAGAGCCCCTGCACTGGCCCGGAGCCCTGCTGAGCCTCCGTGGTGCTGGGCAGCCCAGCACCAGCCACCCTCTGCCACTGGCCTCCTCATACCGCTTCCCCCTTGCCCTGTATAATGTCTCCTGGCATGTCGAAGATCTTGTATGTCACTTGTGGGCTCTGGTTCCCGTCGCCCAGGAGGGTCACCCACAGGGTCCGGACGTGGCTCTGGCACAGCTCTACCACCAGTATGTCGCCCTTCTCTACAGGGGAGCAGAGGCAGTGTCAGGCAGAGACCTGCCCTGTGGCAGATCCCCCAAAATCTGCTCCTTACCCTGTCCCAGGGACAGTCACTCACCCACTGGGGAGACTCCTGAGAGCCTGAGACCACTGCAGAGGCCAAGGGAATCAGCTCCTGGCCTCTGTCCCTGCACTGAGGACTGGCAGAGGCAGCACAAGGGCAGCTTATGGACTCAATAACTGACTGGAGACCAGTGCACCCTTCCCCAGCACCCCCAGGGCCACATCCAGCAAGGCAGGCGGGGCTGCAGGTAGCAGAGCAGCACGTCCCCAGGCTGGGCTGCCTTACCAGTGCCATCAGGCGTGGAGCAGATGTAGGTGGGCAGCATCCGCACGTTGGCCTGTGCATGCGTCTGGCGGCTCAGCCCCTTGCGCATGGCCTGGAGCATGCGGCCCTTCACTGCCTGCAGTGTCTCCAGTGGGATGGTGAGCGCCAGCAGGGCTCGTTGTACCTGGGGACGGCTCGTTAGGGCAGGTCTGAAGGGCAGGGAATGCCTCTCACTGGGCACTGGGCAGGGATGGCCTTACCGGTGCACAGGTGGGACCATTGTTCTGGTGACGGCTCACTGGGGACCTGCATGGAGGGAGGCGGCGCGTCACCCTCTGAGCCCCGGCCTGCAGGAGGACAGGACATGCGCCTGCCCACGCCCAAGCACACGAGTGGGGCTGGGAGGGTCCGTCCCAGGCTCTGCCTCCCACCTCCCCTCTGCATCCCTGCTCCACGGGGCCACGGTGTCAACAACATCGGCGCTTTGCAGTGTCCTTCCACTGCAATCGCGACCCAGCAGCCGGGGGTAGAGGGGGCAGCTGTGCCCCACGATGGCGATGGTGCCGGGGCTGTCCTCGGGGGCCGGGGGAGAAGGGGGCTGCCCCTGCCTCGCCCTGCCTGTGTCTCCCCTCCACCTGCAAGAGGCCGGAGGCTGGTCTCTCCCCTGCCCGGGGAGGTACAACACCCGGGGCAGGGGGGACAGGGGGAGCCTGCTCAGCCCCATCTCCGGCCCCGACCGTGGCCTCCCCGCGCCTTGACTTTCGCTCGGCCGCCGCCGGGCCGGAGCCCCTCACCGGTTCAGGGCCGGGCGGCCCCGCTCCTCCGGGGCCAGACCCCGTCGGGGGAGGCTGTCCGAGCCGGGGGCGGCGGGGCTCTGTTCCCGGGAGGCCCTCGCCGCCCTGCCGTACCGGCCGGACTGGGGCTGGGAGCCTCGGCGCTCGGGGCTGGCCATGGCGGCGGGGCCGGTGGCGCGGGGGGCGTCCGGTGGAGGCGCGGGGCTACCGTTGCCAACGCCGCCGCCGTTGCCCTAGCAACAGAAGCAGCGCCCGCGGGCGCCCCGCCACGCCGTTGGCCGGCCCGTCGCGCCGCTGGCCCAGCCGTGGCC